AAGACTCCACTTTTCTGACATGAGAACCGTCCGCTAGCGTTGTAGACACGTTGGATGACAATTCAAGACCTAACACGTGACCAGGGCCACAAGAATGAACGTGGCTAACGGTCAGATTCACACATAGTTCTTGGCTACTCTGCTCTGCTGTTTAAACTCTGTAGTGTCAGATGACCGATGACCGATGAAGATGAAAATAGCAAAAGAGCCAAATACACGGATCCGGAGCCATAGCCAGATTTAGACTATTCCACGACAATTATGGTTGTGTTCAGCGACAATGAACTAATGACCGGTGAATTCTGTCACGCAGGATTTTCGAAGCTGTCTGTCACCGAAATGACGGATGACTTTTCAAATAACAAGAACACAACGTTGACCGATATGTCTTAAAACAATCACGTGATGACGAAATGAAACATTAAAACTCAACGGCGCGGTTGTTTTTCTAAACAAGTAAAGCAGGATGACGTCTGAAGCAGAATTCACTGACTACTACGTTTATTTATAATGGTCAAGCAGTGATAAAAGCAGATCTTTCGCGGAAGCACAACGTATGGGATTAGCCAGCCAACCGTCCGGCCGGATCAAAGTCAATTATCAACATCGATCGGCACAATGGAGAAAACAACAACACGATCATTATATAAATAACCATAGGTGCACATGATCATTTAGAAAACACTTACAGAGAATGGCGGCGGCGACCAACCTCAGTTCGGCCTCGCCGATGTTACAGTAGCCGTAGATAGGCCTCAGCACGTAGTTGGCAAACGTCAAGGCGGTGACGGCGTTCGATGCCGGTATAGTGATGATCAACGCCGTCCAGAGAAACATGAACGCCGGCAGGTCACCGAACGCGTCCTTGATGTAGGCGTAATCGCCACCGGACTTCAGGATCGATGTGCCGAGTTCGGCATAGCTGAGGGCACCCAACAGCGAAAACAGGCCGCATAGCAGCCAGATGATCAGGCTTAAGCCGATACTGCCAGCCCGCTACAAAACTAAAGCAAAGCTAAAAGCACCGACACAACCGAACAGTCGGATACCACGATGACGCCGGTAGGCGACACGAAGATGCCCGAACCGACGATCACGCCGACGATGATCATCACACCGTTTATCAGGCCGATCTTGGGCTTTAGCCGGATACGATCCGACGAATCTTCGGTCATCATCTTCGCCTGAACGTGTTTATTAGAAGCACCGCCGCCGTTCGTAGACGCCATCTCCAGTCAGTACGTAACGTAAATCCGCCGCTACAAGATGCCACTCATACGTTTCTGCTTAACTACCAAAACCCGGAAATGACTACACTTATTTTCATGCGTCAAAACCATGGAACAGGCTGCAAAGCAAGTTAACCGCCACTCGTATTACCGTATCTCAGCGAATACAAGTAGGTTGTTTTCTACGGTAGATGGTTACGTGTATTATAGCGGAAAATTACACAAACAACGGAGAAGATTCGCTCCTAGCCAACCTACCTTCTATATCGCATGTGCCATGTGATATACTGACAGTTATCTTACTTAGCAAATGATTAATACTACAACGTAAAAGTGTTTTTTACTCAGCACCTGTCGCTTTCAATCACTGCGAACGTACACGAACGTTTCTGTCATGATTTAATTTCAAGTTTGAATAGTTACTACCTATGTGCGAAAATTGCCAACGTATAAAAAATATTAAATTTCATCAAATAAATAATTAAATTTGCAACGGGCCCACGTTGCAGCGAGATTTAGCAGTTTAGGCGATTAAAGCTGCAGTAAACGTCTTGCCTCAACCTTGATGTTTTTTGTGTTTTGTTTCCATCAAAGTAGTTTCAATCTGTTCTTAAGATACATCAATTTCGACATTGTGATCGGTTTCTTTCATAAATTCTATTAAAATTTTGTGTGACAGAAATAGTTGGACGAAGAGTACCACAATGTGCAGTAAAATGGCTTTCCCGCTTTGTATTAATGGCGCTGTCAGTGTTATCTTACAAGTAAAATCTTAAGAAAATATTTCGCTTTATTTGTCGCAACATGCTATTTAAACGAGTTAGATTTCTATTCAGCACTACAATCACTTCAGTGAATTAGCAATTTACGTAGCAGCTTGGTTTGTGAATAAAGGAGGTCAAAAAATGGGAAAACTGAAACCGGTTAACATACAACTGGAAGATGACGTCGGCTCCAATAGATCTGCAGGTGTAACGCAGCTGTTGCACCGACACGCAAGATGGACTCAGTTCTGTTGATTTTTTTTATCGTTGCCTTACAACTGTTACTGTATCGAAAATTAGTCCGACTGATATGTACCGTATGCATTACTAGACGGCACTCTTTCGGGTAACTCCATTCGGTTTTGACGTGCTTGCTCCATTTAAGAATGAAAGTATGGCGTGTCACTCAAGACAGAGCAGGCTGCGATCCCTCTTAATTTATGTGCCGTCGTCCTAAGTGTTAGCATCGTTTTTGTGAAAATACGACCCGAAGTAAATGACTCTATTTTGGAAGTCGATCAGCCCACTGGAGTGCTCGACCTCGACAACGATGGAACAACCTGAAATGGAATCCAATTGGTTGATCCCTGAACAGTGTAAATTTTGCCGTCATTGTGCAATTCATTGTGCGAATGCTGATCGACAGTTAATCATCGACAGATGAAAATAAAGTACATGTAACGGAGTAAGACAATGCCACTCGTGCAATTTACGTTTAGTGAGCAGTTCTTACCAGATTTATCGTGATGCTTGTTCCATTCTCTCAAGTATAAAACGGCGCTTATTACTACTTCTAGTATCATTAAATTTATGCAATGTTTGTTGTAGCAATAACAAAAACTTCGAAGACTGTTCTTTCTACGGTAAGAGATAAAATGGTCATATCAAAAATTAAGGGCGATATATAAATCACGAGAGCAGGGAAATAAGTACAAGTCAAATCCATTTTCTGGTAATGCTGTATACCAAACAGTAGACTTTGCCAAAAACGGCTGAGCTTGCTAGACTACTTAGTCGTTGTTCATTACTTTTTCATATGTTTTCGGCGGTCTTCATTGTCATTTCAGCTAATAGCTTTGGGTGCTTTGTTTAAAGGTAGAGAAAACTAAATTTATCTTAACAATATCAGCGACAACACCGCATAATCGACTCTCCACACCTACATGAGTAGCAGAACGCAGAAAAATTAGTGACAATAAAACTCTTGGAACAAATGATAATCAGAACATGATTTTGTCGAAAATGAATTTTTACCACAATTTGAGTTGCGGACAGTGTCAGTCAATTCAGAAAATGCGAATTCCAATAATCTAAGGAAGCCTGGTGCATTAAGATATGAGATCCTGAAATTTGTTTGATGTGCAGATACCATGACACTACTGTACACTGATTAAGCAACGCCTTGGGTAAGTTTGAAGCTACTCTCTTCAGTTAAATATCTATCCACTCAAATCATTCATGTGTAAACGCGACTAGTCAGTAATCTGCTATGCCATTGGTCCTTGACCTCCCGATGTCTCACTTTTTTCACCTTTGACAGGTAGATAAATTAGTCGGAATGGGCAGAACGACGGACAACAGATGAAGCTGTTTTGTGCATGCCAGTTCCTAATTAACTGCAGCATTTATAAAAACAATTAATCACTTAGGGTAACTTCCTCTATCGAAAACTTGCCCTTTGACACAACAGAGGGTGGCAGCAGGAGAGAGCAGTGCCCTGAAAGCTATTTTGAGAAACATTGTTTGGAACGTGAATCAAAAATCTGTTCTTCGAAAAGAATGTTTTCTCTGATAAAGCGCATCATTCTACAGATTTGAACATTTCTGTTTGCCGAAGTGGCTTCGCTGTCTATATACAGTCCTATTGACGTAATTATTATTTTATTTCAATGAAATACTCTAATCGTTTTCAAAGCAGTAACTGAAAATGGAAGAATAGAAGGTTTTCGGTGTCTTAAATTAACATCGATGATGAATGCAATTTTTCCGATTAAATACCAGCCTGCTTCCTAGCAGGTTTAGCGGAACGATAATGTGCTGATCATAAGTTAATAGTTGGAACAGCACGCTTAAACACGCTTAAACACTGTGAGTATAGTGTAAAATTTCTACGCAGTGCAGAACACAAAATGAACTCAAATCAGTGCTGTCGAAAGTGCATGTTAGAGTCGGTTCTTCTTTGTACTCTGAAGACAGACGTAAACGCCAGATGCCCATAATTTAAGGACATTTTATGCGTTGTCTTCCTGTTTGTGACTTGCCAAAAGATTATATCAGCTCTGCATAAAGAAATCATGCACTTTTTTCTATATGCATATATAGTCAACAAATTACACGAAATGACGAACAATCGAAAGGCCATCAATAAAACCTTCTGATAGACATTTGGCTTTTATATGGCGTCATTAATTCACCGGTAGCATTGCTGTCATCAACTACGGTGCTACCAGCCTCAATGAATCCATTGCGTTGCTAATCCGAAATTTCAGAAACATATCAACCAGCTGGCGATAATTTCTTTGCAACGTCAGTTCACAGCAACTATCTAGCGTTTTCAAATCTTGCACTGTATCGCTCCACAATTTTCCGAAAACCGTAAGAATACACAGCAGAAACAGCTGCGCATCACTTTCTTTTACTTCGTCATTTATTTAGCCTGCTTCACTTCTGTCGAGGAGTTCAAGTCATTGCCAAATCAGCAGAGCGGACAGTCTGGTGTTCTTTTTGGTGAATGTGATCATACCAGAGCTTACAACTGAGGTGCTGTTTGTCATCGTTATTCGAGGTACCTCGATCAATCACGTCTGATACTTTTGTTTCTCAGAACGATTTAGGCGATGTTATTTGCTGCGCCAAACGTCCTATTCCTTGTCTCAAGCAAGTCCGCCTGGAGCAGCTCTTTCAGGATGCGATGTTTGCCTCAAACACGTAGTCTGTGGTCATTCATTGTTTGCCAGATGAGAACGGTCTTAGACAAGTCCCAATTTTCTCTCCGAATGATTCTGTTAAACCACCACGACAGACCACCCGGTCGCGTATTTCAGCAGACAGCATTCTAAGGTCGGTCTTTTCATAGATCTGCTTATTCGATGGAACAAATTTGTCACTCTTGACGAACTTGTAGCGACGAGAGAAAAATTTTGCTAACCACCGAACGTTGTTGAAAATTATAAAACGTGAAAATGGGCGGCCTTTCGGAGCCCTTACAGCGCGTCAAAGAAATGCGACTAGGTCACATCCCCCCATAAACACATTCACAGGGAGAATAGGGCCAGAATTACACCCAGCAGCCCGCTTCGGAGAAGCAGACTTAACGTCGAAGACGCTCAACCGTGCACACCGCTGTGTCTGCGGTACATCGGGAACGAGTAATAATGTGCTTTGGACATCTACTCTAAACAGATCTGCACCTAAAGAGCGATCAATGTCTAGCGATGCCTCTAAGACACACGCGCCGAAATAATCTTGTCTTTTAACTGTATTTATATAATAGTTCATATCTGTACATGTAAAATATAGGTTTACTGAAAATGTTTTATATAATACAAACGACGCTAGTAAGCCGCCTCCTCCAAAGTATTAAACAAATTTGAAATGAAATTTAGCATCATTAACTTCCTTTCCCATGTTTACATCAGTGAGAGAAATTTTCTTTCCTTCAGAGGTTAATAAATGGATACCACTACTCTATGTAAAGGAAATTGGAGACTACTCACAATGAATGTCACATAGCTGCTGCAGACTTTGCCTTTAGAAAGTGGAATAACTCTTGCCTAATGGCATTGAAATAGAGTTTATCACCGCCCATCCACTAACTTCATAAAAAATAAAGCCTCAGAAACAGCTCATCATGAAAGTTAAAGAAGACTGACATTCCAACGGTTACAGACTTTCTTTTCCTTTCTGCGGAATGTTCGGATTGGTTAGACCAAGATGGTCTCTTTTACTTATATGCTCAGCAGTGGATACTGCCTGTGTTGCCTGTTTCTGTCCATTTATTATTTTATGTAACTCTTCCCCAAACTGAGTATTCTACTGCTTTACTCCATATTTCACTATTCTATTCTATTTCCTACTTTCCTGATGTAGTCCTCATTAATACTGTCCAATGTACATGTCAGTTGTATTCATCACCGTTAAAGATGCATAACGAACGACAGAAAAATGTGGAGGTGGTTGACGCGATTAGCAGACTCCTGTGAAAGGAAACACGCTAGGAAAAGAAGAAGAACAAGA